TCTTCAACTAATTGCAGCTCATCTATGGCAGAGTAAATATTCAATTAATACTGCCTTTTTAATAACTGTGATTCCTTCAATCCATCGCACACAGCCTCCCTGTCATTAATTAAAATTTCGCTTTGGAGGTCAATTCAATTCCCTTTTACTGTTCATTAGCCTTAATGCAGAGCAGCAAAATAATCTATTAAAAGCTGTGTTCATCTTCCTGAGCCATGTTCATGGGCGTGTTACATATTAGTCAGCAAGTGGAAGAGGCTGGGGAGGGTTAAGCTTTCTCTCTGCTTCCCTCTGGGACAGAAAGAAAAAAAAAGTGGGCTTAAGCTCTTCCCGTGTCAGGGTGGTGAGTTGAGCCCAGCAAGCCTGGGCGGAAGCTCTTTATCGGTCTCCGTAGCGTGTTTGGCCAAGGCTGACTGGCTGCCAAACAGCCAGAGACAGAGCAGAGATGAATCAGCATTGACAAGGTGAAGCCAGCTTCGTGTTCGCCGGCTGACAGCTCAGGTGCTCAGAGAGATGGAGACACAACAGATTACATTTAGGCCACTGCAGGAAAAGGAGGGCAGGAGAGGAGCAGATAGAGCAAAAGAGGAGGGAGGGGAAGGAGAGTCCAAAATGGCTTTTTAAACTCTGGCAACTTTTCTTACAGATAAGTGAGGTGGTTGAATCCGAGTCACTGTAAGCTGCTGTCATACAGCTGTTCTCAACGGCAATCAGAGTGTGAAAGTGATAAGTTACAGTGTTTCAGATGAAGTGTGGTGAAAAAAGGGTCAGCTGCCAGTCCCTTCAGAAAAGACAGCTTAATAAGCCATTATGTGCTGTAAGACTGAGCGTTCATATTATCAACCTAATAAACACTCAGCCTGTGACGTGACCCTAACGACAGATCATTTATCAACACCCAGCTACAACCTTACCTTACATTTTATTTTACTTCTGATTTTCAACAAACAAGCCATGAAGGTTATGCTGCCACTACACACCAACTGAGGAGTGAGTACCCATGTACTGTACTTCACTGACACTGTACTCCAGTGGCCACTGTACTCCACTGACCACTGTACTTCAGTGACCACGGTACTTCACTGAAGACCACTGTACTCCACTGAGGAGTGAGTTCCCGTGTACTGTACTTCACTGAACCACTGTACTCCACTGATCACTGTACTTCACTGACCACTTGTACTCCACTGACCACTGTACTCCACTGACCACAGTACTTCAATGACCACTGTACTCCACTGATGACCACTGTACTTCACTGACCACTGTACTCCACTGATGACCACTGTACTTCACTGACCACTGTACTCCACTGATGACCACTGTACTTCACTGATCACTGTACTCCACTGACCACTGTACTTTACTGACCACTGTACTTCACTGACCACTATACTCCACTGATGAACACTGTACTCCACTGACCACTGTACTCCACTGACAACTGTACTTCACTGACAACTGCACTCCACTGACCACTGCACTCCACTGACCACTGTACTTCACTGACCACTGTACTTCACTGACCACTGTACTCCACTGATGACCACTGTACTCCACTGACGACCACTGTACTCCATTGACAACTGTACTTCACTGACAACTGCACTCCACTGACCACTGTACTCCACTGACCACTGTACTCCACTGATGACCACTGTACTTCACTGACCACTGTACTCCACTGATGACCACTGTACTTCACTGACCGCTGTACTCCACTGATGAACACTGTACTCCACTGACCACTGTACTCCACTGACCACTGTACTCCACTGATGACCACTGTACTTCACTGACCACTGTGCTCCACTGATGACCACTCTACTCCACTGAACATTGTGCTTCACTGACAACTGTATTTCACTGACCAATGTACTTCACTGACAACTGTACTTCATTGACAACTGCACTCCACTGAAAACCACTGCACTCCACTGATGACAAATATACTCTACCTAGACTCCACCGGTGACCACTATACTCCACTGATGATAATTATACCCCACCTATACTCCATTGAGGACCACTCTACTCACTGAGGACTATTATATTTCACTGATAACCACTGTACTCCACTGAGGACCACTATTCTCCACTGATGACCATTATACTCCACTGATGACAAATATACTCTACCTAGACTCCACCGTTGACCACTATACTCCAGTGATGGTAACTATACCCCATCTAGACTCCATTGATGACCACTATAATCACTGAGGGCCACTACATTCCACTGATGACCACTGTTCTCCACTGAGGACTACTATTCTCCACTGATGACCACTGTACTCTTCTGAGGTCCACAATACATTGATGACCACTATACTCCACTGAAGACCACTCCACTCCACTAAGGACCACTACACTCTACTGAGGATCACTATACTCCTCTGAGGTCCACAATACTCCATTGAGGACCACTATACTTCACTGAGGTCCACTATACTCTAATGAGGACCACTACACTCCACTGATGACCACTATAATCCACTAAAGACCACTATAGCCCACTGAGGACCACTGTACTCTTCTGAGGTCCACAATACATTGAGGACCACTATACTCCACTGAGGACCACTCCACTCTACTAAGGACCACTACACTCTACTGAGGACCATTATACTCCTCTGAGGTCCACAATACTCCATTGAGGACCACTATACTTCACTGAGGTCCACTATACTCTAATGAGGACCACTATACTTCACTGAGGTCCACTATACTCTAATGAGGACCACTATACNGAGGACCACTATACTTCACTGAGGTCCACTATACTCTAATGAGGACCACTATACTTCACTGAGGTCCACTATACTCTAATGAGGACCACTATACTCCACTGATCACCACTATAATCCACTAAAGACCACTATACTCCACTGAGGACCACTGTACTCTTCTGAGGTCCACAATAGATTGAGGACCGCTATAGTCCACTGTGTACCACTCCACTCCACTAAGGACCACTACACTCTACTGAGGACCACTGTACTCCATTGTGGACCACTATACTTCACTGATGTCCACTATACTCTAATGAGGACCACTATACTCCACTGATCACCACTATAATCCAATAAGGACCACTATACTCCACTGAGGACCACTGTACTTTTTTGAGCTCACAAATACTACAATACACTAATAAGATTTCATCACAGTCGTTCTGCACATGTTCAACACCATCATGAACCAATCACATACTATAAAGAATTCCTTTGTGTTCTGAACAAATGACAGAAGACTCAACCAAGACCTGTCGAAGAGCATCCATTTTTTCTGTTTATTCAGAGCTCAGTTATCATGGTTTAGATCAGGAGTATAAGCAGTCCAAATATCAAAGATACACACAAACGTGACAGATCCGTGGTGATGAGTACAGAAGGAGATTCAGTTTTATACAGAACCGTAAAACTACCAGAAAATAACAGAAATAATTAAAATATTCATGTTTTTAACCTCAATATTAACTGTTTTTTATTATCATCATTATCACCAAAAAGTGATGTATGTCAACTATCCACATGCAACTTCAGCTTTTCCTAAACTTCAACCTGAAAGGATGGAGCTAGATAAAAAAAAAAAAAAAACTGGAAGTAGTTTTTTTAAAGGAAGATAGAATGACCAATTAAAATAATCCTTCAGCTGATCTGATCTAAACTTTTGTAACTTTCATGTTTTAAAAGAGGAGATGATCTCTGAGAACTTTCATCACAGCAATAACCATTAGGCAACACACATCATCACTAAATGATTTTATGGTTTCTGATGACAGAGTGAACTTTGAACTGAAAGATTAAAAACTGAAATAAAGATAAATTACAAAGCAATCACTTTATGGTAATTCAAATTTATAATAACTGACTTAACAAATCTGAAGTATAGCATTCTCCTCTCAAAAAATGTAAGCAGTTTGCAAATGAACTAAAAAAGAAAAGTTTAGAAGTTAATGTATTTATAAAAGTTGTTTGTGCTAACATGACATATTACCCAAATCTTTCACAGACTTTACTATCATCAGAACATAAGCTGATGTAAACACTTGCAGATCTTCAAAATAAAAGCAGAAATGTTGAATATCTGTGCAGAACGATTTATAGCTTATTTGATGTCAAAAAAAATTATTGAGCTCCTGTGGGCCATATTGCACCCCTTGGCTGGAAGATGCCCATGAGTACTTTAACACTCTCACTTTGCTGCTTTAATCCAAATGATGCAGTAAATCAACAATACAACTGTAACTGTGGACATACTGCAAGGTAGAGACAGGCTGACACATTTAAAGGATAGAAATCCCTTATCAGGACTAAAACCTGATCAAAGTCCAAGGACTCTACCAGGGTCTTTTCTGAGATCTGTGAGGGAAAGAAAACCACAGCAGCAGCAATGTGCCATGGGTGGTTAGCTGCAGTGGGTCCTTATTGTTGCCCAAGGCCAGCCTCATTCTGACTGCAGGAAAAAAATAAAAACATAAACTACTCATAACATTAATCTTTCCATGCAAGTTTGTGCTTTTGAAGGCAGCCCATCTGTGAAGGCTTCCCAATTAGGGGCTGTCATATGGCACATGATGGAACAGATTTCTGTCCTTGCTGCACCACTATATAGGAGAAAATAATAAAAAATATGCTCAACTAATCTGTTGTTAGGCTGCAGGGTTTCATCACTAAAGCCCTCAGAGTCCTGTTCAAGCTTCTCTTTAACCAGAGCGCATCTTTAAATAGGTGGATTGTGTTGCATTTTATCTTCAAAGGAGCGCTGCTTAGACAAATAGCTCACATTGTCTGCCATCGCTAACAGAAGCAACGATTATTGATCAGGGGAACACACCTTATCAAACTACAATACCTCTGGAACACAACCAACACAAAAGCAGCAGAAAAGTGCAGCAGCACATCGTGAAGAACAAATTGGACAAAAGAGCAGCAACCACAGGCCGTTCATTCATCAAGCCGACAGTGGAGATAGTGTCCATGTTTGTGTGTGTTTACCTTTCGTCCGCCTGTGTTCAGCTTTATGGGCATGAGGAAGGGGTCAAAGATCATGTGGCTGGTCTCGATGTTCACCGGAGACTGCCTCTTTCCAACCGAGCACAGGTTCCAGGCTGAGTTTACCAATCCCCAGAATGACGGCACTGCAACAACAAAAGATGCAACAAAAGGGTGAACATCTGCACCGACCCGATAACAACGTGTGCTGCTGTGGAGATTTTTGCTCTTTCCTCTTGAAGGTTCTACGCAAAAGACTCACAGCAATGTGTTTAATAAGACCAGGGTCTAGCAAACGTGAACCAGGATGAGTTGTAGCCGAGAAGTTTAAATAATAAAATAATAGATAGAACAAGTTTATATCACCAATGTCTGAAAACCATTTCATTTTGTAACGCACCCCAAACTATCAAACTATCAGAGGGACAGAAAACCACAAGGTGATTTTGGTCTCACTAAGCTGGAAAAGATTTTACTAAAAGGTGTTTTCTAAAAGCCAAAACTCAAGATTTTTACTCAAGTAAAAATGTAAAAGTACTGTACTTAAAGAACTTAAGTATTTTAAAAGTTTATAAAAGTAAGGAAAAAAAGCTCAGGGCTGTAGTGCACAACCCAACCTCCCCAAACAACAATTTTCTAAAGGCATTCTTGACTATAAAATTTAATATAATGTTAATGTTAAAAATTTGGGATGCACTAGGCTACCAGTTCCAGCCACAATAATAACTCTGCCACGCTCATCTTCATACTAGGCTACATAGATCCTGCTGGAGTGGGATGTGATTTGTGTCACGTTCAGGTGTGATGATTGTATAGAAACCAACATAGTGTCAGAATGGTATATATTTATGTTATATACTGTATATACATCATCTGAAAACGAGATAGTCTCATTTCACAGTCGTTTTAGGCTGCAAATTGGTCTATGTAGGCTGTGGCCTCTGTGGACCACAGCTTTGTAAGCTGCAGCCCCTGAACTGATACACAGGCTTAGTTTAGGGAGGAGGTTTTGATGATGGTGTTGTAGAGCTGCGTGTTCCTTCCAAACAACTTAATTTTGGTTTCGTCTGTCCACAGAATATTTTGCCAGTAGTGCTGTGGAACATCCAGGTGCTCTTTTGCGAACCGCAAATGTACAGCAATGTTTTATTATTATTATTGTTATTATTATTATTATTATTATTATTGGACAGCAGTAGCTTCTTCCATGGTGTCCTCTAATGAACTCCATTCTTGTATGATGTTTTACGTATTGTGGATTTGTCAAAAAAAATGTTAGCATGTGCCAGAGGTTTCTGTAAGTCTTTAACACTAGTATTCTTTCTTACCTCATTGATCATTCTGCACTGTGCTCTTGCAGCCATTTCTACAGGACGTTCACGCCTAGGGAGAGTAGCAACAGAGCTGAACTTTCTCCATTTGTAGACCGTCTGTCTTACCATGGACACATGAGCATCAAGGTTTTTAGAGATACTTTTGTAACTCTTTCCAGCTTCATGCAAGTCAACAATTCTTGAACGTAGGTCTTCTGAGAGCTCTATTGTGCAAGGCATGATTTACATCAAGTAATGCTTCTTAAGAACATAAACTCAAACCTGGTATTTTATTTAATAGGACAGGGCACATCCAGTCTTGTCTTATTGATTGGACTCCAGGTTGATCTGACACCTGGCTCCAATTAGCTCTGAGAAAAGTAATTTGTCTAGGGGTTCACATACTTTTCCACCCTGCACTGTTGATGTTTACATGTTGTGTTCAATAAAACCATGCAAACATACACTCACCGGCCACTTTATTAGGTACACCTGTCCAACTGCTCGTT